GCCAATGAGCATGTAATGGAGGATCAGCTGCTATTGGCATTGATGTGTCTAAGCCTGGGCCGAATGGGACAGAAGCTGTCATGCGTGGCACAAGTTAATCATCCGTTTCACGGTATATACTATATAGCTAGCTGAGCTGGAAAGACGTCTTGTTCCTCCGTTTGGGCATGATCCCCATTTGGGCGAGCTGGCGATATGTTCAGTCATCAATGCCATGTACCGCAAGACATTCTGCATTGTGGATGAAACAGTTCTATTTTGCCATGCACTTAGGGTTCTCGCACCGGCACAAAAAGACCCAACAGATCCTTGGGCTCTTATTTTCTCCCATGGTAACATTGCTGATCACAACACCCGGTAGCCAGTCGCAGATGCAACCAAATCAACCAGGTTCTCTTACTCTTTTTTCCAATACTGAAACCAAAGGTATACCAATATTTGCATCGAATGCAGTGATGATTTCAATACTGTCCACTAGTACAACGCATTACCAGACTGGCATATAATCATGATAATATTATCCATTTCGCAATCACTGTCATTGCTTTCTTAGATCTTCAATCATCAATATCGGACCATAAACCGTCTATCATCTTCTATTATATCATCATTAGTATCCTGCTACTATCCTCCTCTAACGATGAGCTCGAAGAAAAGAAACAGCGGTCTAGAGGCGTAAACAATATCTGTCAACGGAAGTGTCCTTGCTTTGCTGGTGTGTTTATGCTTCGTGCATTAGTTCGGCCAAGAGCGCATGGTGGTGGCGGGTTAAGGATGTTAAATATACTAGAAAATAGTTCACTCTGAACGTGCAAGGGGTATATTCATAGGTTCGAAAGAACCGCACACACACTTTGCTGCAGACAGCGGCAAGCTTTGGCCCTCGTGCTTCGAAGAGGGAGCAATCCACTGCGCTACGCTTGCGATTAACAGCAAGCTTCGACTTTTCAAAGGTACGACTCGTCATTGGCTCTGGGGTAATGTTCCTGGAACAAATGCCCCATAGCCAACTGAGGGCCAGGGAGCACGCAATCTGCCTTCCTGGGCGAGAAGTGTTCCAGCACAAGAAGCAGCACGAATACATGCTGACAAAGACCACCATCACCACCAGCCGGCAGACAGCACACTGTTCTTCAAACACCATCCACCCCGTCCATGTGTTTGCACTGTCCTCCTCTAGCTCTTCACGCTCAACAAATAACACGCACTGCTCATCGTTTTTTTATGCTTCCTCTGGGTTGGCTAGCCCTTCGACTTGACAAAACAGCGATCACCACTGCACTGCTATCGTCACCTCATAGCAGTCGCTTCCACCAGTGGCTTTTCCTGTCTTTGCAAGGTGGCCAAGGATGGCTGCTGTTGTCACTACAGGCAAATCAGAAGTACTTTAGTGGCTGATGTCCAACCAGATCGTTGGAAAATCGATTTTTCCACTTCAGGGCTGCTGATCGCGACTTGGTGACTTGGCAGCACCACGGTTACCTTCATAGAAGATGGCTCTGGAGAGGAAAAGACAGACCAGAAAAAGGTTACTATTATCTTCAGCACCGATCGCAAGGAAAAAGAAATATGGTCTGCTGTAGCCTAGGCACAAAATAAATCTCACAACACGATTCGCGATTCGAATATTTCAACAACAAAAAAACTCACCTCTGGAGTAACTCCTGTTTGTGGCCCGAGATCGTTCCCTCCCGCGCCTTGAAAAAATCCTGCAGCGGCATCACAGTCCATGTCTCTCTCGGAGACTCTGCTCCTACCAGCAGGAGGTTTAGCACCGCTCGAAGCCATCGCAAACTACTTGAACTAAGCAGAAGACATTCCAAAACAAACCTGAAACACACTGTCAAAGATGCTGTCACGTTCAAAAACTAGCTCGATCGCGAGTGAGGTTGCCCCCGTGCTCGAACCCAGTATAATAAGGGGATCGGTCTATTCAAATGAGGCGACACCACCACGCATAAAAAATCACTTCTCATCACCGTGTGCCGCGCGCATACTGAATCAGACCTGTGTCGACATGTCTATCCATGCGTACGCGCGTGCTGTTCCCTGTTTAGTAACTTTCACGAATCCACTGGTCTCGGAGCCGGAGATGGGAGATCTTGTGACGGAGCTTGAGCATAAGCTTGATGTAGCGATGACGCATCGCGATCGCGGCTCCGAGAACTCCGCACCATTCACGCACCGTATCCGCAGAACAGTTCACCCTTTCTGCGCTTCAGTTTCCCAGCCAGGTTTTCGCCTGAAAGTCGACCTTAGGGGTGGCGCGTACTGAATCTGAGATCTCTGTCGACATGATATGTCGACACATGTCTAACCATGCGTGCTCGTCCCTGTTTAGTAGTAGTAGTTCTAAATACTTTTACGAATCCACTGGCCCCGGAGCCGGAGATGGGAGATCTTGTGAAGGAGCTTTACTAGCATAAGCTTGATGTAGCGATGACGCATCGTGATCGCGGCTCCGAGAACTCCGCACCATTCACGCACAGTATCAGCAGAACAATTCACCCTTTCTGCGCTTCAGTTTTCCAGCCAGGTTGTCGCCTGAAAGGCGACCTTAGGCCATAGGGGTGGTTATTTATTTCGATCAACTACTTCTCGGCGATCTATTTTGTAATCTTGATTCGTGAACCGCCACATCGTGAACGACTGCGAGAGAGATCAGCAAACTGGACGGCGCGATGCTGGTGCTTTCTGCACGAATTTCTGGATGACGAGTTTACTGAAATTCTGCGAAGGAAACAGCGATTGCAGTGGTTTCAATCCGCCAGGAGGCACTCGAGAACGATCGCCCAGGAGTTGCTGGTGCTCCGTGACTATTTTCCATCGCATTGGGGTATTGATTTCAGCATCAGGCCTTCTCTGTGTTGCGCAAGTCACATACTGCTAGTCCCGGGGCCAGACCAAGCGCGCCCAACACAGTCTGCCTTATTTGGCCCAAAGGTCAAAGGTGAAAAATTACCCAGAACCGGCTTTATACATACTACTAACGGGAAACGTTGGACGGTGAGAGAATCAACAATACCTTGATATACTTCAGCAAGAAGTAGACATTCGCCGGGCCACACAGATACTTTTGCAAATGGTTGGCGTCTCCGCAAAGCTCGTTGACAGTGGAGTTGTATAGGTCGTACAAGGAACTGTTTCTCCTCTGTGCAGGTAGCTTAGTTAGGAATTCTTGATAGGTGAGGGGAAGCCCATCTTGGGGAAAGAAGTAGCCCCTGCAGATGGACAGCACACCAACACAACTGCTGTGCAAGATAAACTGGTAAAGATACACGGACTTTAATTAATAGACCAACCAACCGAGGGCATGGATGTACGGATGGAAATAGCATGTACTCAGGGACAGTAGTGTCAATGGAGATCCCATGCAGAGACAAGATGCCCAAATCTGAACAGACAGACACCTCAGCCGAAACGTATGGTGGTTCGTCAACAAGATTCACCTCCTCTCAATGTCCAGTCGCAGGTGTTTTTTGGTGGGAGTGCAATAATCCGGTGTGCGCCAGACATGCCAGACTGTTTTTGACTGGTTCGGACATGCCATGCCCGTTCACACTCTGTGTATGATATTGGTGCTCTGCTGTGGAACGCTCTCCCTGGTGAGGTCCGCACAATTACCCGGCTACCTGAGTTTAAGCATGCATGTGTACCATACGCCTGTAGGGAGTAGTTCGAGTTGCTGCTGATCACTCTGCTCTCCCTCCCCGTGCAGTTCAGTAATCCTCACGTAGTATCATAGATACATCGTATTCTCTCTCTCCCCCGTTTACTCGCAGTTATTAGTATTACTATTCTCTTACTATCATAGTATGTGCTTCCATAGCTTTTTCTATGTTCTTCCATAGCTACTTCTAGGCTAAGCCTTCGCCGTCATTTTATGGGGTCGTCATCCCGTTTGAATGTGCGAAGTGAAATAAAAACCAACCAACCAATATAAAGGGTATGCATGATCTCGTCGAGAGCAAACAAGACTCGGTGGCCTGAAAGTTGGCCCGTGGCCATGCATATAACAACTATTCCGCCGGGCCCGTACATTGGTTCAGTGCTTCACTGACATTTGGGGGATTCATTTCGATACATTTGAATCCCCTTGTTAAACTGCTGCAGACCTGGACGTACCCTGCGGAGTATGTGTGCCAAAGGGAACTGATACGTTATCCAGTCATTCTGTTCGTACACTGCAATCGCTCCCGCCGATTCACCGCTGACTAAGATATCTCTAGCTCTGTACAATGTACAAGACACAACAAATCATTGTCGGTTTCAAAACCAACGAAAATCAGAATACTTGTGAACGAATATTTGGGCTGAAACTGTCACATTTTTAGTTTCTCAGCTAACTGGAATCGTAACGGTTAATTATTAATCGAGCTGTTACAGCGTATAAAGTATGTACCCTGATTTTATGTGCCGTTCTTGTATATCCCGTGACTGCGGGTACAGTCAGACCTCGCTTAACCGCACACATCCGTTTTCCACAAAAAAATCCGGATAAGCGAGGGAACCGGATAACCGAACACCGTTTATGTTGTATGCATCACGTATGCTGTAAATATGTAACCAGCTATTTTCTTCTGGATGGCGAGGGAAACAGATAAAAGAGGACCGGATAAGCGAGGCCTGATTATACCCTGAAACAATCACCACGCAACGTAATGTACTACTCGATAAAATCCGATCACGTGAGTCAAATGCATGTTGGGCGCTGAGCAGCCCTAGACCTGCAAAGACAGAGATAAGCAATTGTGAAGGCGGCTAACTTGTCTCACACAGGGTGGGGTTTCATTCTTCAGTACTGTACAATGGATGCATGCTATCCTCTGCTCAATGTTCCAGGGTGGATTCATTATTCCTCCACCACTCCATGCTACAATTATACAGGGGCCGCAACATGACCTTGTCGTCGGGGGGTTTAATTCCAGACGATAGGCCCTTCCGATTACTCTCTCGACCACATGTACATCCCACCTACACCACACTCAGAGGGCTGAATATTTGGTTTCACTCCAAAGAGAGTCTCAAGAAGAAGGCCAACACAGAACAACAAGAATGCGCACAAATGCACGCATGCGCAGTCCGCGCAGGCACCGACAACATACGACCACACAAAAATGCATCCTCTCCTGAGGATGAGAGAGAAGAAAAAAATGAGAAGAAAGACAGGAGAAGAAGAAATCAAATGTGAGCAGCATACACAGGCAAGTATGAACAAAACATGCAGGGCCAAAACAGTAGGATAAGATAGTAACTCCGGACAACGGGGAAAAGCCAAAGCAAATGGGTGGAAAGAAAACAGACTGGGCCCACCCATAGAGGGAACCGCTATACTTTCAGGCGTGGGCCCCCGGGAAACAACCACCTTGCCCTGGTGCGAAGCCAAGGCAAACCGACGGCACTGCGAAGACCGCGGCAGCTGAACCGGGTGACCAGTCATCTGGCAACACAGGAGTTGTCCGGAAAACCATCACGCAGCCGATGGGGCTCCGAAAACTCACAGAGACACACACAGAAAGAAACACGGACTGACGCAAACATCTCAGCCATACCAGGAGCCAAAAATCAGACAAAAAACACAAGAAGGAATGGCAGAACAGCAAGGTTGAACACGCCTACGGAAACAGGGGCAGTCTACCAATGAGGACACCAGATAGCACACAAACAAATCGGTCATCAATACGCAAACAAAAATAACGTAGAAAAGCCACAGGGCGCTACCCTGAATAACCACAGGCCCTTTACCTGAAACAAAGCACAGGATTGAACCTGAATATCACGCGGGAAGTACATCCGCTCACAAAACCAAAAAAAAACAAAAAACAAAATCGTCCTGAATCCTACTGGGACGCACAAAGGCCAGCCAGCAAAACACGGAAACCGAAAACCCGCAAGGCGAACCGATAAGGCGAACACAGAACAACAAGAATGCGTACAAATGCACGCATGCGCAACCTGCGCAGTCCGCGCAGGCACGGAGAACAACCTTGTCATGCATCCATTACACGCAGACCTCACAGTGTAAGCGAGTGTTATAAATTATATCGTTATATCGTTGTGTAAACAACTACACGCTCATTTATGCTAAGAGGATACGTAACCGATCAACCATGCAAACCGCTTCGGCTATAGCAAATATCTGAATTCAGAAACGAGCTACAACTCTTCCTCCTGGAGTGAAACCATTCTCCCCTCCTCAGTCTGTTCCCCCAAATTTTTATTTGCCACACAGACGGAGTTTAGTGTGGTACCATTCGAAAACACCACTGATTGTGTTTGATGGGTAATGTTGCCTTCGAACCTAATACCTATGTGTTGTGCTCGGCCTGCAAGCCACCCAGGAGTCACCGCTAAGGGCCTGACAGGCTAGGACTGTTTTCGGAAAGGGAAACAGCCGAACGCAATTGGTAGTGAACAGCTAGTGGATGACGTAATGTACTCTACTACTGTCGTGGACATGGAAGTCCAGTCGATTGACCGGGGCCGGCGCCCTCAGCCCGTACAGAACGCTGCGTGCAGTGCACAGAGTCATTTTAATCCGATGCGACCAGCGCGCTGCAGCGGATAAATGCATGTATGTAGCGCTTATCCATGGCTGCATGGCCAGCGCCCTGGGGCTGCTAGACGTGCGACCGGATTTCCATGTCCACGACAGTAGTATAATTGCTATGAGTGCAAATATTTCGAAAGCAATTTGAACACGAAGTCAATGTAACGAGAGAGCTTGGAAGCTCAGGGCCCTACGCTATGCTTTTTTGCCTTGATGACCTAGACAAAAAAAAGCATATGGATGTTATAAATTCTTTAAAAAAATCCTTTTTTTTAAGACATAACCTGGGATTCGAACCCGCACTATCGCGCGCCCTGCATGCATCCCCCGATACACTTTGCATACATACTCATTCTTCCAAGTTGTTTCACATTGTGATCTTGCATTTGAAATCCCTATTTGAATATGCATTGTGGCCAGCCGTCTTTGATCGCACGGTACGGTAGTGGATAGGTACGGGACAGGTACGATCGAGGGTAGTACGACACCGTCTCCCGTACCATCAAACACAGCTGGCCACATACAGCTGCCCGCAATATTTAAATAGGGCTTTCAAACGCAAGATAATAACGTGAAGCAACTTGGGAGAATGGGTATGAATGCGAAGTGAATGGGGGAATGCATGTAGGGCGATAGTGCGGGTTCGAATCCCAGGATTTGCCTGAAAAAAAGGAAAAATAGAAAAATTTATAACATCCTATGCTTTTTGCCGTCAGATACGGATAGCGCCAGGCGTGACACAAACAAACAAACAAACACACACACAAATACCAAATTAAAGCTGTGTGGACCCTGGCTAGCGCCAGACGTTACTGAAGTAACGTCTTCTGCATAGCTACGGGAATAAACATGGAATGTATGTCTTCACATTGAGAAAAATGCTTAGTTTACAGTTTTGATTTCATACATATCGCTTGTTCTCTGCGGAAAAACCGTCGAAGAAAGGATGAACTTAATACTTCCCAATTGCTCACCCGTTGAGGTTGTGGACTTTCCGCAGCTGTGCGTGGACGGCAACGACGGTCAAGTGGCCAGAGGAATATGGCTGCGTTTGCTGGCCATAATGCATGTCTCCACTGCAGTACTGAACCAAACAACAAACGGAAAGGTAACACAGGAAATGGCTGAACTATTCAACCAGTAGAGGATACGCTGAATAACATGTGACTTGACTTGGGAGGGCATTGCAGAGCAGTTGCTGACAAAGTTCAAAGTTGTACGGTGTACGGTGACCTGTGACTTGTGCTCCTACAGAGCTCAGGGCCAACCGTGTACACATTGCAGTATAATCTAGATACAACTGGTGTGCAATGCCTTCCCACATCTATAATGTAATTGCACCTTACTTGGCATACCATATATGATAATCGTCAGACAGCTGTCGTCGTTGACTATTAACAGTCCTCGAATGTAACGGATAATTCAGGAACTCGATTGGAAATCATCTCCAAATTCATTCGTTAGGATCTTGCTGTGAATTTGGAATACCCGCGTGATGATGTATAACGATTTCATACCCTGATAGAACAGCGTTGGCAAATGCTCTGCTGAACACGGCATTCAGGCCACCAAGTAGACAATCATAGAGGTCTGGCAGGACTTTACGGCTGAATCGAGGCCGAGTGCACACTGCCAAGGGCGCAGGCCAAGGTGCGTAGCGCTGAGGCCAGCGCCCGCCGTCGTACGCACGAGGCCTTGATGAAGGCGAAAAGTCCTGCCAGACCTCTATGATCGTGTTTCAAGTGTTGTCTTTCCCATCTCTTTTCTATAAGCAAGACCCCTCTTATAGGCGTGGTGGTCGGCGACGTGATGGATTCAGCTTGTGAATTTCAGCTTGTGAGTTTCAGCTTGTGAGTTTCAGCTTGTGAGTTTCACCTCCGTCCGCTCCTCATGAATGGGAAAAAAACATGATCCCTGCTTCAGAGTAAATCCATGATCTTTCGCTTGTTCGCATATTCAAAATGCTCTGAAATGTTTGGCAACTCGTCAAGTACATGTAGAACGCTTAGCCATATAATTTCACTAGGTCTTTCGTACCATTACTCTGCAAGTCGACTACAATGGTGATCAACAAGATAGCAAGCAAGTCCTTATAACCGCCACTTTGGTGGTCAGAGCATTGACAAAAATAGCACTTGAAAAATAGCGCTAGTGGCACCAACAACATATTTGGCGTGCAGAGCATAAACCAAATGGCACTTTAAAAGATAGCTCTAGTGGCGCCAACGACACAGTGAGACAATGAACATTACCAGTATCAGACAACAGTGGGGACCGCGCTACTACAATGTCAAAACAGTGACAACTTTCGCACATACTTCTTTGGCACGCACAGTTCAGGCTTCTGCTTGGCAATGTACATTGCCTCCAGCACAGCAAGGTGAGATTTGTTGCACGCACTCGCTTGAATCGTGAAGTGAGAGTGGGTGCCATGTTTGCAGACTGCACTTAGGCAGGCTGGTGACGATATCAGGCGGCGGAGTATCGCCGAATCCTACTCATTATCGTCATTGTCCGTTGGTCCATTCCTGGGGTAGCTATTGTTGCATAGAGCAGCATATCCCCAACAAACTCGTACGGACAGTTACAGGAACAACAACACCGGTTAGGACAGGGAGAGGCCGAGCAGTCAAGGACATCACCGTCACCGTCAAGAAAGGGAGAAGAAAATCAACACCGATCAAACCACCAGCAACTGTCACGGGACGAAGTGAACGACTGCATCTCCGCAACAACGCTCTGCAACAAGCGACTGATACAGGATCGGCATGTGGAACAGTGTGTGACTCCTCGCCCGGCAGAGAAGTCGCCAGCGGCACAACTGAGATGCACAATAGCTACCACAGGAATGGACCAACGGACAATGACGATAATAAGAAGGACTCGGCGATGCTCCGTCACCTGACATCGTCACCAGCCTGCCTAAGAGCAGTCTGCAAACATGGCACCCACTCTCACTTCACAATTCAAGCGCGTGCCCGCAACAAATCTCACCTTGCTGTGCTGGAGGCAGTGTACATTGCCAAGCTGAAGCCTGAGCTGTGCGTGCCAAAGAAGTATGTGCGAAAGTTGCCACTGTTTTGACATTTTAGTACTGTGGTCTCCACTGTTGTCTGATACTGGAAATTTTCATTGTCTCACTGTGTAGTTGGCGCCACTAGCGCTATCTTTTAAAGTGCTATTTGGTCTATGCTCTGACCGCCAATTTTGCTGTTGGCGCCACTAGCGCTATTTTTCAAGTGCTATGTTTGTCAATGCTCTGCCCACCAAAGTGCCGGTTATAAGGACTTGCTTGCTACCTTGTTAATCACCATTGTATTTGACCTGAAGAGTAATGGATTGAAAGGTCTAGTAGAAAAAATTATATGGCTTCTGTGCTTCGTGTGCTGACACACACATACGTGCATGCACACAAACACACTCGCACACACACACACACACACACACACACACACACACTCGCACAAACACACACACACACACTCGCAAGCACACACACACACACTCGCACGCACACACACACACACGCACACACACACACACACACACACACACACACACACACTCGCAAGCACGCACGCACACTCGCAAGCACACATACACCTGTTCTGTACTGTCCTGAACATGGCCGTCAGGCGGTCACATGTCGCCTCATACGAGGGGTCGACAAAGAAGGGCCCGCCACTGGGCATGTAGAGCAATCGTCGTCGGGTCGACACTCATGGCCGGCGAGGCCTCCACAAACACACACACGGCACACACACACACACACACTTATATGCCACTTATATGGGCTCATCATATCTCAGTAAGTGGGTGAGGACAAGGTGCAGAAAAAGGATTGACGGCATCAGGGTATCCGTCCCGGGATCCAACTGCAGTTACCCCTGCCCCAGTGAAGGTAATACTTGCTACTAATGTGAGTGGCTAAATCAGAGTGGATCTGATAAAAGCTTCACTAGCACCATTGATTACACAAGAATTAATCTAGCCAGATGCATTCCATGGTTACCAGGTATACTTCAAATAGAAAATAATATGAACCCTGAAACCAACAAAGGTGGCAGATACAACAATACACCTTCAAGCAGCCGAGTCTGTTGGCAACAGACCAAACACAATCAGGCATTAGTGTACCTACTAACTAGGGGTGAAAGTTGGCACTGAGATCCCGAGTTCGAGTACTCTGATTTTCTCCGATCGAATATTCGAGTATTCGAGTATTCTTGATATCCTAAAAATCGCACACCATGTACCAACCGTCTTAAAAATCACATGATACAACCCTGATTGAACCGATTGGCAGTTCTTTTTCTCGGGTATATTGGTTGGTGGGTCATTTGGGCCGCTCTCGACTCGTGTACAACTGTTCATCACACAGTCTGCACATCAATATCTGCTGACTGCTGCTCTGAAACTGCAGACTTCTGTGGTATTGCATGTACCATGTATGAGCGAGTACTCTGATCTATTCCGAGTACGATTATATTTGAAAAATCCAAACGAGTATTCGAATATTCGGTATAATTGTTTCACCCCTACTACTAACCGAACTAGCTGGTAGCTAGTACAAACACACGCGCGCGCACGCACAAGCACACACACACACATCCTGTCCTTTCCTGTAGAGCCACTGCCACAGGGGTCACGTGGGCCCCTCTGGGGCCCACGTGACAACATGCACACACACACACACGCTAACACCCAGACACACACACACACACACACACACACACACACACACACACACATACACAGGAAACATACCGATAAATAGACATGGTTCCACATGCAGACCCCGTTGTTTTCGCTTGCGTTACTAGACACCAGTCCAAATCCACTCATAGCAGAAGCCCAGCTATTGGAAGATCCTAGGTCACTCTCCGTGCGAGCCTGACAAGACTCCTTGCTAGCACAGAGACCACCACCTGGGCGTAACAGACACATACACGTGCACAGATGCACGCACACCCAGACACAAACGCACAAGTACACACATTACCTGATCACACCGCAAAATCCATATGAGAAAAAGGCGAAGAAAAAAGGATTTCCGACACCAGACTATAATTATGTGGAATTAGATCCAGCCGTTACAGGCCCCCTCCCCCACCCGTTCCCCTCCCCTGCTTCCCAGTGACCCTTAATGCTTGTTGGGGTTGTCAGATTTGGCGACATCTGATACATGCTCTGCTTACTACTATAGAGAATTCCACGCAGCCAAACCACGGTCCCCAGTTCAGGTATCAAGGCAAGTAAAGGGCACGCACGAATGTGCGCCACACCTCTCCACCCCCCCCCCCCCCCACCCACAACACACATATCTCATACCCACTGATGCACACAGACACAAAAACATCTCCACTCTCCACCCACCCACGCACGAGCACAAACACACAGTTTTCAAAATAAATTTGTCGCAATCACGTTGCCATTTCTCCCTCTCCCGTACACACACAAGCATACACATGTACAGAAACACGAAAGCACACCCCCTCCAACCCCCCCCCCCCCCCCCCCCACACACACACCTAAATGTGTACACATAGATGCAGGCACAAACGAACTAAGTAACACGAGCGTGTGGGCGCCAAACAATTAGAACTGACCTTTGAAGTAGAAACCCCTCTTTCTGGATTGCAAACCTGGTTCAAAGTAGAAACCACTCGGCGAACCGTCCACACAGCGTGCACTGAACTCGGACACTTCTTGGTTATCGAAACGATAGAGCTCAAGCATCCAGAAAACGTCAACCGGTTGCGTGCAAAATCTGTGATTTGTGAAAACGAAGAATAAATAAAACAGGATCTTTTAAAAGGCTCGTTCCCAAGTGTTGTCAAGTGTTGAAGAAAGTTGCAACTTCGCAACATTTTGGAATTGCTATTCAAGTTTGATGTTAAATAGCAAAATGCTACGCAAAAGATTGAAAGTTGAACTCGGATGGTGAGCCAATATACTTATGATGAAGAAAGGAAAAGGACAAATTGTTACGAGTTATGACAAACTGTCCACCAACGTAGACAGATCTTATACAGTGAGCGAGTGCGACAAAATGGCACAAAACGGCAAGGATAAGATCGTGCATAAGATCCTGTATAAGATCTGGCTACGTTGGTGGACAGTTTGTCATACTAGTAACTGGTAACAATTTGTCCTTTTCCTTTCTTCATCAAAAGATTGAAAGCAAATTATTCCCTGAGGCTCCTATAGTCGGTATAGAAAAAGAATCGTGGAAATTGAGTTTCAGCATTCAGTTTTTCCCGAGCTAAGCCACTGGTACATGGCACGACTTTCCGGTCCGGGGTGATTATCATGATGTTTTATCTTGTGCAGTTATGCATGTACATGTATGTGTGTGTGTGTTTGGGGGGGGGGAGGGGGATCCTGATTTCTTCGCTTCTTTTGATCGGCGGGGGTCATTTCTATCTCTGAGTTTCTGAAGATTGGAAATTTGTTTGGATTTCAGCGCTACACGTGTAAAGTAAAAGGAAATTATCGTGTCCGTTCCCGAAGGGAACTCACGACGGCCGCTAACACCCGGTAAACCCTAGCCTAGCGGCCACACGTGTAACCGCCCTCCGGAACTGATAACCTAAACAGTACGATGCCATCACTGAAGACGTTCATCACATGACATTGTACTACATGTACTTGCAACCATGATCACCCATGCCACACGATCATATACAGTCAACTTCGCTAATAACGACTGCGGATATAACGACAAATCACGAATAACGACAGAATTTCCATGCCCAGAGCAAAGTCCCATCCCACTGTAATACAGTCGTCCCTCTCTAATACAGCACTTTATAATCCAGCACCCTCGATAAACCAGAACAATTTTCAGTAGCCAACATGTCCTTTTCATGCACATTGCAGCAGTAAATCCGATTTGTTAATCCAGCACCCTCCCTAATCCAGCAGATTTCCGTGGCACAAATGGTGCCGGATTATAGAGGGACCACTGTACATATATAGTGAGACTTCGGGTATAACGACACTTCACGAATAAGGACACTTTTCTTGATGCCCCGCCGCCGAGTGTCGTTATAAGCCAAGCTCACTGTACTCGTATAGTTTGGCATTTTATCATCATTTTTACCCGTTCTTTTACGGTCTTGCTAGCAATATTTTTTGTATTTTTGTATTTTTGAACTCGGACGGTGAGCCAATTTAATTATGGTACAAAAGAAAGTTCTGGATAAGTTGGTGAACAGTTAGTCATAACTCGTAACACTTCGTCCTGCTCGATTTTTTTATTTGTTTTTATTTTACATCGCAAGCCAAACGGGCAATCATGCCCAATGTTCTGCTGAAGATGGAAGGGGAGAAAAGATTCAAGAACAATATGAGAGGCCAGGGGCATAATTCAGTCTTCATCCATCTGCATTCTTTGTGTTTACTACAGTGAATGTACAGTCAGACTTCTGCAGGGCGAACACTAACGGGCCGGTGGGTTTTTCCACTATAACGGAAGTCCTCCTTACACATCATCGTGCCCAGTGTATACACGGTGATGAAGTAATGAATGCAAGTCTCCTAAAGTGAATCATTGTGTTCCCTGCATTGACATGTACATCCAAGTGTTCAAGAATTGCAAAACTGGGCGAATGAATGGATGGATGGATAAAGTCATGAATGGAGCAGGAAAACACAACATTCTTCAACTAAACGTGCTACCGTTCTTCCTCAGCAGATCGCGATGTTTACAGATGTACGAGCCCACTCATTCTCATCCTAACCCCTCCGTAGCTCTGCACGTGAAGCACCCTCAAGCTAATAAATGAATGGATGGATGGATAAAGTAACGAATGGGGCAGGAAAACACAACATTCTTCAAATAAACGTGCTACCGCTCTTCCTCAGCAGACCGCGTTGTTTATAGATGTACGGTACGAGCGCGCTCATTCTCATCCTAACCCCTCCGTAGCTCTGCACGTGAAAGCACCCTCAAGCTAATCAATCTAACCCACGTGAACTTACATGACTGTTGAAGCGATTGCGAGAAAACGCAATGGCGAGCAGCCACCGATGGCCATCTTGTCACGCTGGCTGTGTCTGACTGGACAGCGGTTGCACTTGCAAAGACTGATGAAGATTCTCACTCCTAAATGGCCGGCTTCCAGAACACTATTTCTACAGAGTCAAGCAAACTCCATTCTCACCAAATATTTCCGACGAACCGTTCTGGGAGTGCACTGCAGGAATTGTAGGTCGTTACATGTAAGACTAATATATAATAGACCGATCCCCTTATTATACTGGGTTCGAGCACGGGGGCAACCTCACTCGCGATCGAGCTAGTTTTTGAACGTGACAGCATCTTTGACAGTGTGTTTCAGGTTTGTTTTGGAATGTCTTCTGCTTAGTTCAAGTAGTTTGCGATGGCTTCGAGCGGTGCTAAACCTCCTGCTGGTAGGAGCAGAGTCTCCGAGAGAGACATGGACTGTGATGCCGCTGCAGGATTTTTTCAAGGCGCGGGAGGGAACGATCTCGGGCCACAAACAGGAGTACTCCAGAGGTGAGTTTTTTTGTTGTTGAAATATTCGAATCGCGAATCGTGTTGTGAGATTTATTTTGTGCCTAGGCTACAGCAGACCATATTATTGCTTTCTCCTTGCGATCGGTGCTGAAGATAATAGTAACCTTTTTCTGGTCTGTCTTTTCCTCTCCAGAGCCATCTTCTATGAAGGCAACCGTGGTGCTGCCAAGTCACCAAGTCACGATCAGCAGCCCTGAAGTGGAAAAATCGATTTTCCAACGATCTGGTTGGACATCAGCCACTAAAGTACTTCTGATTTGCCTGTAGTGACAACAGCAGCCATCCTTGGACACCTTGCAAAGACAGGAAAAGCCACTGGTGGAAGCGACTGCTATGAGGTGACGATAGCAGTGCAGTGGTGATCGCTGTTTTGTCAAGTCGAAGGGCTAGCCAACCCAGAGGAAGCATAAAAAAACGATGAGCAGTGCGTGGTATTTGTTGAGCGTGAAGAGCTAGAGGAGGACAGTGCAAACACATGGACGGAGTGGATGGTGTTTGAAGAACAGTGTGCTGTGTGCCGGCTGGTGGTGATGATGGTCTTTGTCAGCATGTATTCGTGCTGCTTCTTGTGCTGGAACACTTCTCGCCCAGGAAGGCAGATTGCGTGCTCCCTGGCCCTCAGTTGGCAATGGGGCATTTGTTCCAGGAACATTACCCCAGAGCCAATGATGAGTCGTACCTTTGAAAAGTCGAAGCTTGCTGTTAATCGCAAGCGTAGCGCAGTGGATTCCTCCCTCTTCGAAGCACGAGGGCCAAAGCTTGCCGCTGTCTGCAGCAAAGTGTGTGTGCGGTTCTTTCCAACCTATGAATATACCCCCCTGCATGTTCAGAGTGAACTATTTTCTAGTATATTTAACATCCTCAACCCGCCACCACCATGCGCTCTTGGATCGAACTAATGCACGAAGCATAAACACACCAGCACAGCAAGGACACTTCCGTTGACAGATATTGTTTACGCCTCTAGACCGCTGTTTCTTTTCTTCGAGCTCATCGTTAGAGGAGGATAGCAGCAGGATACTAATGATGATATAATATAAGATGATAGACGGTTTATGGTCCGATATTGATGATTGAAGATCTAAGAAAGCAATGACAGTGATTGCGAAATGGATAATATTATCATGATTATATGCCAGTCTGGTGATGCGTTGTACTAGTGGACAGTATTGAAATCATCACTGCATTCGATGCAAATATTGGTATACCTTTGGTTTCAGTATTGGAAAAAAAGAGTAAGAGAACCTGGTTGATTTGTTTGCATCTGCGACTGGCTACCGGGTGTTGTGATCAGCAATGTTACCATGGGAGAAAATAAGAGCGCACGGATCTGTTGGGTCTTGTTGTGCCGGTGCGAGAACCCTAAGTGCATGGCAAAATAGAACTATTTCATCCACAATGCAGAATGTCTTGCGGTACATGGCATTGATGACTGAACATCTCGCCAGCTCGCCCAAATGGGGATCATGCCCAAACGGAGGAACAAGACATCTTTCCAGCTCAGCTAGCTATAAGTATATACCGTGAAACGGATGATTAACTTGTGCCACGCATGACAGCTTCTGTTCCATTCGGCCCAGGCTTAGACACATCAATGCCAATAGCAGCTGATCCTCCATTACATGCTCATTGGCGATTTACGGCCACCTCCAACTGTATCCGCCGTCCCTCAGCTTCCGTCTTCGCAGATCTGGCTCGGCGCAGTACATTTTCTTGGCTAGGCTCAAAAAAGTCCCACAGAGCGGTCCAAACACTTGAAGGTAAACCAGTCAGAAACTGGAGCGGCTCAGAGTCATTCTTTATGTTATTGTACGTAAGCTGTTTTTCGGCTTTCTTCACCCCATCGTCCAACTGCTCCACGAGACTCTGTACACGAGCTCTACTTGCTGCCAACTCCTGATGCAGATGCTGCACTTCCATTACAGAACCAAACTGCACTAAGCCAGGTTCCTTTCCAACTCAAAATGCTGTTACCTCTCAGCAAAATACTGGTTTGCGAGCATGGGGAGCTCGTGATGCAGACGCTGCACTTCCATGACCGAACTGCACTAGGCTCAGCAAATACTGTTTTGCGAGCATGGGGAGCAGAGCGTCCAGACTCCACTCTCTTGCGAAAAGCAAACCTGGTACCGTAGGACAGCTGTTTGGTTTCCTGGACTCATCCTGCCCTTGTAGAGCTGGGCAAAACGATTTCGACTTCGGGATCGAAATGATCGCTGCAACTCAAATATTCAGAGTGACCCTAAAACTACGTCCTTCCTCAGGGGGAATAGCCTGGATCCGCTTGCTCCAGGCCGCTGTGGCTCCACACGAGGAAAGGAGTGAAATGACTTGTTTGCTTCGTCCTCCTGTTCTGACAGTGAGGAGCGCAGCAATGATCCTGAGAAGGCATCCTGAAGTTGTAAAAAGGAAGATCTAAACAAAAACAAAACAGCTCAAATCAAAAGTCCTTGTGGCATTTTTTGTAGACAGGCTTGCACTGCGTGTAGATTTCGCGTGCTCTGCACTTCGCATGCGAGAAGTCACGCACAGCCGAGGTGAGGTTGGTCGCGTGTGTGCAGCAGGATCCCACGCGACTGCGGAGTTGCCCCCTTGCTCGAACCCAGACAATAATAAGGGGATCGGTCTATTATAACTATAAGAGTTTCGGTTGGACATGATTATTATCTTTTCTACGGGTCTCGGTCGTGCGGAGCCGTGTGGCTTTGGTGTGTAGCAATATTGTTGCCAGGTAGAACCAGTGCCAAAAGCACAGGCTTCTAACTCACTCTGGGTTTTATAATTTTTCACAATTTCCTGAGAGCTGTACTTTCATTAGCAGTACATGTATACTGAGTCTGTACTGAGTCTGTACATGTAGTCCAGGGATTTCGTGCCTTCCAGCCTAATCCAGGTGTAGATCTACCTTTACAGTGTTACAGCTACATCAGTACATTATGTACAGTATACACTCCACAGGGCAGTAGGCGACAAACTGAAAACTCAGAAAAGTAAAGAGGAGTCTGGTACATGGTAGATCTACTGTCGTGGACATGGAAATCCGGTCGCACGTCTACATGTAGCGGCCCCAGGGCGCTGGCCATGCAGCCATGGCATGCATTATTTTACGCGCTGCTGCTGGTCGCATCGTATCGACAATGCATGTGCGCTGCATGCATCGACGACGTTCTGTACGCGCTGAGGGCGCCGGTCCCGGTCAATCGACTGGATTTCCATGTCCGCGACAGTACATTACAGTCATGATTGTGTTCAAAGCAGTGCCGCGAACTCCAAACCGAAGCACATCGCATTATAATTATTCGCATTGAGTGCATGGGCCATGGGGCATCATGCCGCTCTCTACATGACTGCACTCTGTACTGTAGTGTAGATTCGGCCTCGCCTATTCGTACACATGTGTAGATGAACGATGACAAATCGCTGATACCATTCATCTGAGTGATTCTCCGCTGTTGAGTGTTGTTTGCCACGCAGCTGATTCGGCTTGTGGCAAGTAATTCTACAAAGCGGGCGCTTGCACTTCGCCAATAGAGCATCGTTTACCAATGAAAACTAATGGAAGCACACAAAAGACGTATCGTTTCTCTGTACTGACCATCGCTGAGCGAAAAAATCGCGACGACTCGCCTGGAGGTCGAGTTTTCCGCATCCGTAGGAACGCCACCACACTCAAGGATCAATGCTCAGATGCCGTAGATAAAGGGGTGAGAGGTGAGTAGATCCGACGCACCAAATTGGAAGTTCACCACCGAAAATTACTTTAAAAATTGTATACTGTCTTCAGTCTATCCACCCGCCGCCATGACCACTTATGCCTGCTTTACAATATTCCTTCTCAAATCCCGAACCACCTAAAGTATTATGATTGGTCTCACCTCAGTCGAAATACATGTACCCGTGACCAGGTCTCGCTCCCCGTCCCTCGTTTATCTGTTCTTCTCCGATCTCCCCCTTTTCTTGTCTACATTGTACTCTCATTGGCTCTCCCTTCCGTATAACTTGTGCAGTGCGACCTCTATCTCAGAATTAAAAATGCGCTGCGTTATGTGAAATAGGCTGACCATTGCCTCGCTGTAGTCAACTGATATCTCATTTTTTTAATTTTTCTTGTAAAGAAAATAGGACTTATACGTTACTGGTTATACTAACAGACGATATAATTATACAGTCAGATAGTGCGACAACAAGGCACCGAACTATACAGCATTCCCTCACTAGTGGGACCATTGCTGTTAGGCTAGGGCCTGTTTTGGACTTCCCACTCTAAATAAAGAATACAAACCAAAACAACAACTGACAAAGTTATTCAGTCATTCGGCGACCTGACAGCTAGTTCAAACATATCTACGAAGGGCAAACCGACAATCTTCCAACTTGGAAGGCTCAGATGCGGAAAGTTCCAATGAGGGGAGGGATGTGCCACGAATTCTAGAGGCCCTGCTCGACGATGAGGAGGAGAGGTGCGAGGGCATCATTCCAGTTCTTGTCCTGGCCGAACGCTTTCTCAGGCAACGAAGAGTCCAAATGCCACGAACAAGTATCTATTCCGAGGTCACAGTACCAGCCTACACCCTGGACGATTTTCGGCAGCATTCCGTACGTCGACAATCGCGTTTGAGGTTGGTTTTGTTGGCGGAGGAATACAGCAGTGACACCCCTCACCCCTACATGGCTTCAACTTGAGG